GTGTCTGACTTTTTCACTTGACAGTGTCATCCTGTGTGTTTAAGGTTCCTGACTCCCAGCAATCCCATGAACAGCAGATGGGAACTTGCCCCGTCTTGCACCGTCCTCACAATTGCTTCTGTGCCCCAGCCCATTGTGGCAGCCACGGTCACTCCATCTCATTGAGGGCCTTCCTGTTTTTCTGACTGTCCATTTTACTGGGTGTTATGTCCTTCTCCAGGGACTGGTCATTTCTGATAACACGTTCAAATTATGTGAGAAAAAGTTTGACCTGCCTCGCCCCGGTGGCCCACTCTGACGGCACATCATCCAAGGCAGACTTGTTTGTTTTTTTGGCGGTCTACGGTGTACCCAGTATTCTTTGCTGACACCACAAATCAGAAGCCTACCTAGAAGAGAAATAAAAGTAGGGTAGCCTCTCCAAACCCCTGGCACTGCCCGTGGCCTTGAGTGGCAGGCCCTTGGTGGCTGGGCTGGGGAAGTGGGCCCCTCTCTCATAGGTGAGCTGGGAAAGCGTGCTTCTCTCTGAGGACAGATTCCTGCCTTGTTTCCTGACCTTTCCTTATCTGCCCATCCTCCACAGGGTCAGTCTGTCTCCTGTTCCTGGGGCCGCCTCTCTGCTGGCCCTTTCTTCACACTTGGGCTGTCAGCTTCTCTCTTACCCCTTCGCTTCTCTTTCCTCTCCACTAAACCTGACTCTGACACCTCGGTCCTGCGTGCAGAATGTCTGTCCTGCGTGTAGAATGTCTGTCCTACCTGCAGAATGTTTTGTGCGCAGAATGGTTTGAAAGATCATCGTTTCAGCCTCCGCTGCAGTCAGTTGCTAACTGCAAGGGTGTGGATTCAGGTCCTCCAGTTGCTACGTGGGCAACAGATGGGCAGCTCCCTCCTGCTAGGGTCGCCAGCCTTGCCGTCTGCTCGATGCCACTTTCTTCAGTCGTCCCACATCTGGCTTCATCTGACGCCAGCCATGTCCACCAAGCTGCCCAAGTTCAACCCCAGTGAGATCAAAGTCATGTACCTGAACTGTGCCAGTGGGGAAATCAGTGCCATGTGCCCTGAAGGTTGGCCCTCTGGCTCTGTCTTCAGAAACGGTCAATGATGGCATTGCCAAGGCCACAGGCGACTGGAAGGGACTAAGGATCTCTGTCACACTGACCATTCAGAACAGACAGGCCCAAATTGAGGGGATGCCTTCTGCCTCTGCCCTGGCCTTCAGAGCCCCGAACGAACCACCCAGACAGAAAGCAGCAGAAAAATAGGAAACTCAGAGGGAAGGCCACCTTTTTTCGCGTCTTCTTTAATGAACAGGTTTATTCAATCACAGTCTGAATTCAGGGCACTGGCTCTGGGGAGAGGCCGCTCTGTCAGTCTTCCCCCATCTCTGCCAAGGTTACTGGGTTTTGGTTTTGGGTTTGTTTGTTTTTGTTTGTTTGTTAGCAAGACAAGTAAAAATGTTTCTTAAGACAGAGACATAATGAAAGGCAGACCACACAGAAGAGTTAAAGTGAAAAAGAAAGAAGAGAGGGGGAAAGCGGTTTCTACCAGGGAAGCAGGTTTTGGAAGGCTTAACACTACGACTAATAATAGCCCTCTACTTCCACGTGTGGGTCATATCCTCTCCCTCCTTCTACCCCCAACCTCACTTAGGGGCTTGACTCCCCTCCTGAGTACTTCCTACTGGGAGTCCCCTTGAAAGACAGCGTGCTGTCAAACCTTACATCATGCTGTCAGCAGAAAAGGAGCAGAGAGAGAGCTGGCAAGACCACTTAAAAAAATTTTTTTTTAATTTTATTTTATTATTTTGTGTGTGTGTGTGTGTGTGTGTCTGTACCGTCAAATTGGATCTGACTGGTACAGGAGATTGCCCCTCCTTCTCCAGCAGAGCGTCTGGTGGGGGAAGACCATTTTTGGCGAGACGGTTGGCATTGCCCAGCAGATACGACACCGACTGTTAGCCAGAGAACTTCCTGGAGCAGTGAAAGGGCTCCTGGGAGCTGCCCCGTCTGTGGGCTGTGACGTTGATGGCCACCACCCTCCTGACATTGTAGAATACAGTGGCACTGTGGAATGCCCAGCTAGCATGCAGAACAACAGATGAAAGTATTTCAACAAAGGGTCTTCGGTTAACCAGTGGTAGGGGCAGTGGAGGGTCATGTGAGTCAGAATCAACTAGGTGACGAGTTTCGGTTTGAGAAGGGGCCGTTCATTAAGGGTCCTAGTGGTTAAAGTGCCGGGCTGCCAACAGAAAGGTCAACTGTTCAAACCCACCAGCTGTTCCCTAGGAGAGAGATTCCATAGACTTATAGCCTTTGGAAACTCTGAACCTGGTCTACCCTCCAGGGCTGCTAAGCGTTAGCACTGACGAGGGCAGTGGGTTAGGTCTCAGGTCGGGGTCATCGGGATGGGCACCCCTTCTAATGCCGAATTACGGAGAGAAGTGCTTTCCAGGGTGTTTGTTTGGAATGCTGGGTTGTTAGACTGTGTCTCCTCCAGTGGAAAAACCCGGATCAAGGCAGAGGGCTGTGTGCTTGCTTGGCTGAGTCTCTGTGCTGTTTCCCTCCTGTAAGATCCAGACATATTACCATGTGGAAAGCTCTGGAAAGTTCCACACAAAAGCATTGTTTACTTTGACCAAGAATCCATGTCCCAGAGGCCTCCCCTCCAGCCTGTGGGCCTGTCATGCACACTTTTATGACAATGCAGGTCTGATTCTATGGGCTGCTATTTGCCAGCCAACCCTTCCTTGTCTTCTTTTTTATTTTATTATTTGTGTGTGTGTACCATCCAATCTGATCTGGCAGGTACAGGAAGAGATTGCCCCTCCTTCTCTAGCAGAGCATCTGGTGGATTTGAACCACATACCTTTGGTATTGCAGTGCAGCTTCTTGCCACCAGGCCACCAGAGCGCCCTCCCCCCTTGTCTTCTTTAAGCTGCAGTCCTTCTGGGTCATTAGCCCAGTCCTGGTTTTCCAGGGCCCCTGGAAAGTGGAGGGGCACAGGTGTTTTGTGATCAGAGGCTAACCTCAAAGGTGACAGTTCAAACCCAACCAGCAGCGCTGTGAACGGAAAGCTGGCCATCGACTTCTGTAAAGATTACATGTCCAGAATCAACTCGAGGGGCACAGGTTTTGGGAAGCTTAACCCTGTGTCTGATAACAGTCCTCCACTTTCAAGCGTGGGTCATATCCTCTCAGTCCTTCTAACCCCCTATCCTCATTTAGGGACCCGACTCCTCTCCTGAGTGCCTCCTACTGGGCAGCCCCACATTGACCATCCCAAACCCTTTGTTCTGTATTCATGCCTTTATGTTCCTGTCCACAAGAGAGCTTTTTAAAATCTTTGTGTTTTGTAATGGCAAAATATGCATAATGTTAACTTTTAGCACATTAAGACATTCTCAAATGCCCCATCCAGGGACAGTAAGCACATCCACAATGCTGCCCAGCCATCCATGCCCCATCCCCGCCTCCCACCAATGCTGTTGGATCCATGCTAATTCTTTTTAATCACCCCAAACAGGAAACTCTGCCTGTGGGCAGTCACACACACCCCAGCTCCCTGGTGACCACTACCTACTTCCAGTCCCCTGAACTAGCCTAGTCTATATATGTCCTGTATGAGTCCATTTATATGAAATGTCCAGTGTGAGTGCATCTGAGTCAGTCTGTGGTGGCCAAGGGTCAGGAGTGGGCACAGATTCCTTTTGGAATGATAAAAAAAAAAGTCCAGAAATGACATCGCGCCCAGCCTCGTGACATTCTGAAAAGCACTGAATTAGATATTTTTTTAAAATGGATTAATTTTTTGTTTGAGTGAAAGTTGGTAAATCATATGGTTTTCACACACTTCGTGCGTAGATCTCGGCTGTCCCTCAGAGAGGTAGCTGGCTCCCAGGGAGAACCCAGCCGGCTGGCCGGCCTGGCTGCCCTCGCTGCCCTCGCTCTGGCTTGGTGAGATGAAGGAGAGGGGCCTACTGCCTACAGTGGAGGGACCCAAGTCATTTCTCTTGATCCCATGGGAATCATGCTTCCATGAAATGCTCCAAAGCATCCTTTGATAATGCTGGAACTCAGAGGGCTGTCTTTCTTAGGTTGAACACTCTGCCTGCCTGTCTCCTGGGACCCAGAAGCGCCGTGCTTGCCTCCAGTCCTGGCCCACGGGCTCCTCAGAATTCACACTGCCTTCCAGGGGTCTCAGGGCCCCTTGGGTGTAATCCTTCCAGATAAAAGAGGCAGCCCCCATGGTGCGCCCAGACACTGGGTGCTGACAGAGCTCTGGGAGACCGGGCAGGCCACGGAGGGAGTGGTCATCTGGGTGGGAGGAAAGGCATGAGGCCAGCTCATGGCTGGAAAAGAACCCCCAGGCAGGGCTTCCTGACCCCTGGCTCTGAACACCATCAGCCCACACTAGCTCATTCCTTATCCAAAGGCTACATTTCTTGGGTGGTGGGTGGTGGTGTTGGTTTCCAGCATTGGAGAGTGTTGTTGAGAGAGAGGAGGAAGAAATGGAGAATGAGGAACCTGCTTTGGTGTTCAAGTTAGGTGTCCATGCTTGAGGGGCAGGGCCTCTGGGATGTGGTCCATCGCCTGGGTCCAGGGAGAGTCCAAGGTGCAAAGGACAGGAGAGGGTTCCAGCGGGGCTGCCTTCCTCTTCGGGGTGTGGTGGGGGGCCTGGTGTGGCTTGTTTTGGGGGACGGCGGCGCCCTGGACTCTCTGAAGCTGAGGGGCATAGAGTATGGGTTTCATCCGTGAGAATCTTGGGACCATCAGAGACCTGAAGACAAAAGTGTCCAACCAGATCTACTCTGCGTAGTACCACATCCAGATAAACACCTCTGAGGAGAGATGCCTTCCCCCATGAGGTGACCAGTGGCATTACAAGCCGGACTCCAACAAGTCTTCAGTAAATGAGCCCTAAGGAAACGTGCCTGGGAGGACAGCGTCGCGAGTCCTGGGTTTTGGCCACCCCTCACCTGTGCCCTTCTTCTCACCCTGCAGGTACGACGCCGGGCAGGATGGCTACATCGACCTGATGGAACTGAAGCTGATGATGGAGAAGCTGGGGGCCCCTCAGACCCACCTGGGACTCAAGGGCATGATCAGGGAGGTGGATGAGGACTTTGACGGCAAACTCAGCTTCAGAGAGGTAACTGTGCACCTGCTGGGGCTCCCCCCCCCCCCGTGGGTGTGATGCTCTGACCCATCGGATATTTAACCCTTGACTCTGCTTTAACAAAACCAAAACATCTTTTTTTTTATTATCTTTTACTCAAAGTGAAACAAGTGCTACTATGTTTTCAAAGTTCTCTGTCAAAAGCCAGTCCCCAAAATTCTATCTTAAAAATTCTAGTTAAATACAATAATACCTAATCATATATTCCTCCTAAATAGTTCTTCCCGCATCTGTTTCAATGCAGTATACATTATTTATCTTCTCTTAGTTTTGCCCCAACTCCAATGTCAGTCCCACTTTACAACAGTGGCACTATGCAGTATTTGTCCTTTTGCGACTGAGATATTTCACTCAGCATAATGTCCTCCAGGGTCACCCATTTTGTATAATATCGCATGAGTTCCTTTTCAAGGCAGCATAGTATTCCATTGTGTGAATATACCACAGCTTCTCTATCCGTTCATCTGTTGATGGGCACTTAGGTTGTTTCCAACTCCTTGATATTGTGAACAAAGCTGTGATAAACATGGGTGTGCAAATATCTGTTTGGATGTCAGTTATGGTCTCTGGGGTTTACTCCCAGTAGTGGAATTTCTGGGTCAAATGATATTTCTTTTTGCAACTTTTTGAGAAAGCGCCATACAGTCTTCCAGAGTGGTTGTACCATTTTACACTCCCACCAACAGTGAATAAGGGTTCCAGTTTCTCCACAACCTCATCAGCGTTTGTTGTTTGCTGTTTGTTAAATTTTGCTCTTCTTACTGGAGTGAGATGATATCCCATAATTGTTTTGCAAAACATCTTTAAGGAGGATCGTGGATCGCAGTTTGGCATGACACACAGGGCAAGGTTCAGATCTGATGTACAACTCTGAGTCACAGTGGACCAAATGGCACCTAACAACAACAATAACAACAAAATATGAATTGTTGTCAGTGTTGTTGTGAGGACTAACTAGGAAGCAGGGGTTTGGTGTGGTTTGGCTAAGTACAGGCCTTCATCCAAGCGAGGTGAAGCCATTTATGCTTTTCTGGGGGTGCAGTGGGGTCTCTCCAGTTAACCTGCCAGCCACCAGGACCTTCCCAGCAGGGACGAAAGCCGAGTGGTCCTCACTCTTGACATGCTTCCCACGGAAGCACTCCAGACCATCCCTTCTCCCTCCTGAGCGGGCAGATAAGGAGACGGCAGATCACAGAATGCCCGCCTGGGGAATCACCTTCCGGAAATTCTCTGGGTTCTCCTGGTAGAGAGCCACAGGGCCAGAGCGTGGACACTTGCCTGGTCTCACGCCATACCACATTCTTCTTTGCATCCCCGCTGGTTCCCTCGCTTCTCGTTTGCTTCCCCTGTGTTGTTCACACGTCCTGCAGGGCATTGGTCCTTTCCAACCTGGATGCCCCAGTGGTGGTTTTTTTGTTGTTAAGTGACGAGAACTGGTTCTGACGTGCAATGACACCTGTACTGCAGCGCAGACGCTGCCCAATCCGAGGCATCCCCACCCTCTCTGCTGGGGTTCAGCCCTGTTTGTTACAGCCACTGTAATCCACTCCTTCACTGACGCTTCACTTTCCAAGCCAACACCATAGTTCTTTGCCGACACTGTAATTTGAAAGTGTCAGTTCTTTTTGCATCCTCCTTATTCATTGTCCAGCTCTCACATACTAGTTCAAATTGAAGCTGAAGAAAATGAAAAGTCCGTGGGGCTTTTATTCTGTCTGCTTCATCTTCTCCTTCTACCTAGAAGGCTGCCCCAGGACCTGCCCAGATGGCTGCCTGTAGCCCTTAGGGTCACGTTGCCCAGGTCCGCAGTCCTACCTACCCCAGCATAGTTGTTGTTGTTGTTATTGCCTCTGAGTAGAGCACGACTCATAGCGATCCTATGAACGAAAGGCTTGAAGTCCCTCTCTCTGTAACTATCGACATTTATCAAAGTTCATAGAGTTTCCAGAGGCATGTTGTTTAGGAATTGGATGCCACTCCTGCTTCCAAATCCCAGGATAGAGGGATTCCTTATTCTGGATTTCATATTATTCTTAGGAGAAGGCCTCTGATTGGTTCTATGTGATCACTTGTGCACCTCCTGGACCCATCATTGCATTCAGAGTACCACAATTGGTTAGAACTGGGTCATACGCGCCATCCTTGAAGGCTTGAGGTAGCTAGACAGAGTCGTTATTTCTTTCCTCAGTTCTTGGTATTTCGCCTCAGTGCTCAGTGGATGTTTCTTCCTTCTCTTTGGATTAACTCACCACACCTCGATAGAAGCGCTTGGTACAGAAGGTTGTTGCTGCTGTTGTAGTTGGGTGTCCACAAGGACCCATCACAAGGCTGAGAGACTTGAGGCCAGTGAGGGCTTGCACTGTCCTTGGCAGATGAAGGGTCTAGCCTGAAGCCTTCATACCCTCGTCTGTCCTGGTCTCTACCCGGTCCATTATTTTGGTTACAGGTGGTGGACGAGGGTCACGTGGTGGGCTTACAGGAGAGCACCTCTGCTGGGAGCTGTGGGCCCCTTCACGCCCCCCACCCACCCTCCTCAGAGTGAGTCCTGGAGGTCAGCTTGTGCTAGCCATGCTTGATGGATCCTGAATGGGCCCCTGGCCAACTCAGGCCTAGCCAACCCACACTGGATACACCACCTTCGAGTCAGCACCGCCTCAGCGACCCGGCATTGGGTTTCTGAGATTTCTTTATGGAGGAAACTACTTCCCCTTTTTCCTCCCACAAAGCAACAGGTGGATTCAAACCACCGACCTTTCAATTAGCAGCCTAGTATGTACTGTTCTACCAGGGCTCCTGGGACCCCTCGTCAGACTGGGCCAGGGGAATCTCCTACTCTGGAAATTTGACATTGGTTCTGAAATACTGTGATTGACTCGGCACGTGGTGGGTTCCTGAGAAGGTCACTCACGGGGCCACCATGCTCTTCCTGTGTTCCCAAAAGCTTTGCTGCCCCCGCACCAGGCCTCTTGAGGCCTCTGCCTCCCACCGTCCAATCTTTGGTACATGATATAACGATTGCTTCCTTCTCCTTAGGCCACCACATTACTTTTTGTCATGGGCAATCAGAAAGTTCCAAGTCATAGAGGAGAAGTGTCTGTAACTAGCCAGAGCCGTGAAGTTAAAAATTTCCTAAAATTAACAGAAGCGTTTTCTAGCATGTCACGGACAACACTTTCTCTTTGTTCTTTCTCTGTGTCTCTGTTCTCAACTCCCTACCCCCTCCCCTCCTAGTCACAGCTAGGACGTGTTCCAATTCTCCCCAACATATCAGCCTTTGTGGACTATAAATAGGAAGACAAACAAGGCCGAGTGGCTGGGCAGTGGGAGAAGGTGTCCTGGAGCCGCGGTTAGTGATTGTAGTAATACTGAGGGCCAGAGCCTGGCCGCCTTTGTGGGCGGCTGGCCATTTCAGATGGAGGTGGATTTCGGAACTTTTTCTTCTTACATGGGCTGGTGCAGGGGGACCCGTGGTTGATGACAGGGCCACTGTTGGTCATCTTCTGAGCTGGTGGAGGTGCGCCTCAAGTCTTGGGTCCGTACCATCAAAGGGTCCGGGAAGAACCACTCTTGAGAAGTCTTGTGAGGAATACCTTGAATCATTTCCTTTTTTTAAAAAAATTTTAATTAATGAAAGTTTACAGAGACTTAGGGTTTCCAGTAATTCATTGTTACACTTTACTCCCTGTTTTCTTTTTTTAAAAAATATTTATTATTTCTAATTTGGTGTGCTGTTGAACTGGATCCAACAGGCACAGGAGGAATTTGCCCTTCCTTCTCCAACAGAGCATCTGGTGGATTTGAACCACGTACCTTCAGGATTGCAGTGCAGCTTCTTGCCACTAGGCTACCAGAGCTCCTTGAATAATTTTTAACAGGTAGAATTCTTTGCTTTTCTGCTCCTAGTATAAGAAATCTGAACCAGCTGGTAAAGAGGGGCTCCTTGTTCTGGGTTTACCCGAGAGAGAGGAATCGTGAGGTTGGAACCTTCTAGCAATGAAACACTTTGAAGGATGGGTAGGGTAAGGTGCCCGGGAGTAATTCATGGAGTCCCTGTGTACGACAGGGACGCTGCCTGGTCCTGCGCCGTCCTCACGACCTCTGCCCTTGAGCCTGTTGTTGTAACTGTTGGGGCTGCTTCTTTTTCAATAACACTCCACTTTCCCAAGCATGACGTTCTCCTCCCAGAACTGGTCTCTCCTGATCATGTACCCCAAGTGTGTGAGGCCAAGTTTCACCGTCTCATTTCCAAGAAACATACTGGCTGTGCTTCCTCCGGGACAGATTTCTTGATCATCTGACGGTTCCTGGTATTCAGGATTCTCACGGACACCACAGTTCAAAGGCTGCAGTTCTCGGAGTTGAGGGGTGGGGACTTCTATACCTTCCCTCCCCTCGAGGCTCGCTGCTGCACAAAGTCTTTACTGCTGACATCTCTGTCTGGAGAGTTTGTGATACAAGAACGTTCCCCCGCTGCCATAACCTATCTTCATTGTGTTCCCGAGGCTGTAAATCTGTTCAGGAGGAAACTGCCCATCTTTCTCCCAAGGAGCAGCTGGTGGATTCAAAGCACTGACCTTTCCCTTAGGAATGTAGCACATTGACCAGGATGTTGTTGTTGTTGTTAGGCGCCATTGAGTTAACTCTGACTCGTAGGAACCCTGTGACATAGATCAGCGTGTGTCTGTTCCTGTACCGTCTTCAGCCCATTGTTACACTCACCATGTCCGTTTGTCTCCTTCGCTGAACGAACCTCTGCCTTCCCCCACATGATGACTCCCCGGGGACGCCCTCTCCTGACAACATGTGAGATGCAGTCCCCTCGTCCTTGCCTCTAAGGAGCACCTGGGCTGCATTTCTTCCAGGACAGATTTGCTTTGGGATTTTTTATTTTTTTTTTTTTTTTTTAGTTTATAGTATTTTCGGTCCTCTGCCAACACCGCGATTCAAAGGCATCAATTCATGAAGTTGTTTACTGTCGAGTAGGAACCAACCCATGGGTGACCCTCCCGTGGGCTTTCTGAGTCAGTAAATCACACGGGAAGAGATTGCCCGTCCTTCTCCCATGAAGTGCCTGGTGGCTTATTGTTGGTAGGGACCATCGAGTCTAGTGAGACGTCATGAGCGGGTGACCTGAGCCCTGCCCTCCCCGGTGCCGTCCTCATCATCTCTGACCCACTGGAGCCCACTGCTGAGGTCAGTGTCAGTCCAGCTTGTGGGGGAGGTCCTCCTCTCCTTCGCTGACCTTCAGTCTTTCCAAGGATGATGTTCCCTTTCCCAGGAATAGCCTGGCTAGGTCTTTGGCCTCAGTCTTACTCTGCAGGACCTCATGGCCTACTTGGCCGAGGATTCTCTCCTGCCAGTATCCCCTCTGCAGCAGTCTGCCGCTGCCTGTGCTCGCTGAGTCTTTGCTGGCCTCTAGTGAGGGAGTTAGAAGCTGCAGGCGGATAAACGTGGCTGAGCGGACAGCACCCTCCTCAGAGCTCAGAGAGCTTGAGTATCTTACCTTACCCCTTGGGTGCTGATTGGCAACATAGGACACCACCACCCCAAAATCCAGGAAGGTAAAGCCCCAAAATCCAGGAAGGTAAAGCCTTGTTAGTCAAGTGTTTTGGACTCTGCTTGCTGCCATGGTTGAGATTTGTGCTTGAATGAAACACACTTTGTTCTAGGAATTATAAGATGTGGCAGTGAGAAGTACCCAGTTGGAATTTGGAAAGTCGTTTAAGAGCATGGCCTGGTAGTGTTAATGCCCTGGCTGTTCACGGCGCAACTCCACCAGCCGCTCTGTGGCAGAAAGATGAGCAGTTGCCTCCTGTTAGTATTTACAGCCTCAGAGACGTGACAGAGGTCTGCTGAGTCAGAACAGACTGAATGACTGTGAGGTTCTTGTTTGGTGCGATGCTGTAACTGCTGCCCTTTCCCTCAGGGGGAGTCCTATTTCAGGAGAGAGAATTGTCAGCAGAAAAACCCTGAAATTCTTGGCGGACTGGCAAAGTGTACCTTGAATTTATTTTTTCTTATCTTGTTATGTACTGTTTGAGTTGGATCTAACTGGCACAGGAAGAGATTGCCTCTCCTTTCTCCAGCTGGGCATCTGGGGAATTTGAACTGCATGCCTTTGAGATTGCAGCACAGCTTCTTGCCACTAGACCACCAGAGCACCGTGGTTGTACCTTGAATATGAATTCAAGGGGTCTTGTTCTTTCTGGCTGCTGTTGGGGTCAGCACTGTCTCAGGTGTGAGTCATGGAAAACCCCATGAAACCCGGAATCCTGCACAATTTAACTTTGTAAAAATTCTTTCAACAAGAGAACCAGATAAAGACATGACCTTGAGGGGAGTGAGGAAAATGGGGGTTCTGCCAAAAGTTTGTTCTATTTTTTATTTAAACCTTCAGTCTTTGGAAGCCTCAGTACAAGTTGGCTTCAACAATTTTTTCGCTCACATTTTTAATCTGGAGGGACAGGATGGATTATTGAATAAATGATGAGAGGATTACTGACTAACCATTTTGAGAAAAATGAGATTAATGATCAGCTTCACAGGATTGAGTTTTAGAGATTAAATATTTAAAGGCAGGTGACATGCAGTTAAGTGTTTAAAACAGCAGGTTCTATACAGATCTCTTCAAAAGCAGTAAGAAATGTAAACTCAAATGTGAAAGTGGGGCACACATGAACCCAAAAGTGGAAACTGTAAAATTATTTCATTAAAAAATAGCTATCTCTATTTGATCTTTCTCTCAAGGCAGTAAACTAGGTTGTTGGCACTTTCTTGCTTTTCAAGATATATTGCTTAATTCTTTTTTTAAATTATGATTTTAATGAAAGTTTACAGAAAAGTTGGATTTTCATTCATTCATTGTTGCACAAAAAATATTCATTCATTGTTGTGTAATTGCTTAATGTTTTTTGTCACTTGAGAACCAGCTTTGCAGCGGCTAGTCATGACCCTTATTTCCAAAATGCCCCAAAAGACTGAATCCATTTATACTCTCGCCACCTAAGAAGGAGGGTGCCTGTTTGGCCGTGTCTTGGTTGACGTTTGGCCGTGTTTTGGCTGACAGTGTGGGAGAGCCTGGGCTACTGGATCATTATTGTCCTTTCCCCTGTTGATGGTGGGCCTGCACTGGGTCCAGAATGTTCTCTCGTTCTCTGACTCAGCCTCCCTCTTGTCCACACAGTTCCTGCTCATATTCCACAAGGCGCGTGCCGGCAAGCTGGAGGCAGACAGCGGGCTGATGGCGCTGGCCAAACTCTCGGAGATTAACGTTGCCCAGCAGGGCGTCAGGGGTGCCAAGGTCTTCTTCGAAGCCAAGGTAGGTGCCTCTTTGCCCTTGTGCGTGTCATCTGGGGACCTGGAGCTTGCTCACCGCTGAATTGTCTCATTAACCCCTGGGGCAGAGCAACAGTGGAGACAGTTATAGGAAAATGAGAGAATGATGGCGTACCTGTGTGTGTGCCCACGTAATCTAGAAATGAAAATTGAATGGTGAAATATCCAAGCCTGGTTTTGGATTCACATGGGTTTGGGGTGCAGTGCCAACTCTGGATCCAGACTTTTCCAGAGAGTTCTTCTCCACCCCAAACCACAGCTGTGTTGCTCCAACAGCTATGTCCACTTCTGCACCTGTGTGGTATCCAGTGGACAGTGGGGTGGATGAGGACATCTCTGCTCTGCAGACAGTGGTCAGGAGTTGAGAGGGTCTCTCCCGTCTACTGTCCCACAGTCCTGGGTTTCTCAGTCTTCATGCACCCCTATGGTCCTTAAACATTTCTAGAGGTCCTTCTGCCGGGGTGCTGCTGTCATCACCTGCACAGAGCACACCTGCAGAAGGTGGGATGTGGCTGGTTCTCCAACCTCTTATCCACCTGAGCTGTAGAGAACAAGTTCAGGAGCCAGTTACTTTGTTACTGTGTAACCTCAGCTTCCTCACCTGGAAGACGGGGTATCTTCTAGAAAGGATCAAATGAATAATGTGCGTAGATTGTTTGGTAAGTGTCTCATATTTATAGGAATTCCTTGCTGGATATGAGCTGTTGGGACCTCCCATAACTCCAGGCAGGAACCAGACCTCCTGGTGGGATTTTTGCTTTCTTGTGAAGGCCGTCCACAGACCATTGTCCTTGGTGAGCTAGCCTGTCCTGCCCAGGACCCTAATCAGGAGGCGTCTTTCTGCAGAGATGCTGTTTACAGACAGATTCCAGCAATTGTCCACCAAGGTCTCCTCTAGTCCTAATGCCACATTCTTCATGCAGTCTGGCTTCTCAGACAGGTCTTTGGAGAGGGACATAATGCTGGGTAGAGTAGAGGGACAGCGCAGGAGGGGAAGGCCCTCTATGAGGTGGATTGATTCAGTGACCGGGGTAATCGGGATGGGTGTGTCAGAGACAGTGCGATTGGCACAGGATAGAGCAGGGTTTAGGGCTGTTGTACATAGGGTCGCTATGAGTCGCAAACGACTCAACAGCACATAACAACAACAACAACTACTTTTTATGTGATGTGGAGTCATAACTGACTCAAAGCTGACCCTCCAGTGGATTTTCAGAGGCAATACATCTCATGGGAGGAGGTTACCCATCTTTTTCGATGCCTTTGAATTGTGGTGTTGAAGAAGACCACGGACACCAAGAGAACATGCAAGTCTGTCTTGGAGGAAGGGCAGCCAGCGTGCACCTTGGAGTCGAGGAGGGTGACACTTCATCTTACATGCTTTGGGCCTGTTGTGAGGAGGGACCAGTCCTTGGAAAGGACAGCTGCAGGGAAAGGTGGAGGGTCAGAGAAAGAAGACCACCACCAAGACGGACCGCCTCAGTGACTATACCAGGGGCTGGAGTTTATCGGAGATGGTGAGGATGGTACAGGACAGGGCGGTTCAGATCAGCTCCTAATGCTGCTGGGAGTTGTAGACTCAGTAGACCTAACAACATCAACTGCCACAGAGCAGCTGGTGGATTCAAACTGTGTGCCTTTGTGTTGGTAACACAGCTCCTTACCGCTAGGCCACCAGAGCTCCCTTATTGCATAGTGAAGGGTTTTATAGCAAACTGTGGTTGTTTTTGTGTGCTGTCATATTGGGACTGAGGCATAGCTGACTCTGCTGTGGGTTTTCAGAGGCAGTAAATCGCACGGAGATTTCCCGTCCTTCTCCCTTGGAGTAGTTGAATTTGAACTGTGTACCTTTGGGATTGACGCGTGGCTTCTTGTCACTAGGCCACCAAAACTCCATATAACGAACCATTAATAAGGACTATGTCTGAGGGACAGCTTTTAGATTTTTAAAAAGTTTATGATCTTTACATGTGCACTGTTTTTACAGTCAGGCAGAAACATGAAAAGAATAACAATAAACTTTCTCAGCGTGCCGTGTTTATGTGACTCCCTTCTCGCCCAGACTCGAGGCAGCGGGAGGTGTACTATCTTTGTAATTACAGGGCCCAGTGGATAATGGCCCTCAACAAAGGTTTGTGTGCATGACGAACAGAAGGAGTCATCATTTGGATTTGGGACAGAGCCATAAAGGCGCTGGCGTTCGTGACTGATGCTGTGAGACGAAGGACTCGCCTTGTCATCAAAGGAGGGGAGGCGTGGGAACCTCTGGGTGCAAGGCGTGTCCCGCTGGGTGGGAGTCAAGGTGAATGGAGCCCGCCTGTCCCACCTTTGCGAGGCATGTCCCCCTGGGTGGG